TCACTACTGATTCAAGGTGTCTCACTCTCTCCTTCTCTCTAAAGTGCAGAAGCAATCTTTCCTTCTGCGGTTGGGGATTATTAATGTTCACATACCATCTGGAAAGCACTGGATTATTAAGTGTCAAGTTTGGGGTTTTCTCTCCTTGTCACCCTTTATCACATCTCAAATTTATGATCAGATTACGCCTACCTTTTTTTATTTATCCTAAATACTTGCTGAAGATGTTTGGCTCCAGAGCTCTCAGCATAAGACCTGTTCTTTATGCTCTGATTTTCACGTACAAAGATGTTCAGTATCTCATCTGAGTAGGAGAGAGGATATTATTTTGTACACTATTTAAATTGCTATTAAGTGTGGTCCTTTTTTTTTAATTATGCCCTAAAATTTGGGGTTTGGTTTTTTTTCCTCCTCACAAAAGAGAACAAGTAGGAATGCTTACAAAGTTGTCATGAGACAAGAGAAGAAAATATATAGAACAAGGACTAAGAGGGGCAAAAAAAAGGGTTGCATTAATAAAACTATGTAGATAAGCATTTGCTGTGCATGCACATCTCCAAAATAGCACAAAGGTGACAAATATCAAATTTGTTTAAGGACCTTAAAGTTCATGGAAAACTAGTGGTTAAGTCACTCATAACAGTCCACATTCAGGTTGTAGAGGATCAATTCTCGTGCTGTGTTGCACAGCATTTTAAGAACCAGTAAGTCTGCTCTGTTAGAAAGGGGCAATCATCATATGGTACAAAATAATTGGGGGGGGAGGAGAGTGAAATAAGATGACCTGAGGGAAGATTCGAAACTTCCCGCAGTTTCCCCCTCTTCTTTCTAGAATCAACTATGAAATACAAACAGATAAAACAATTATAGATCATACCATGAGATGTGCAGTGAAACACGTGACAAAGCCTAGGAAGAAGCACCCCACGTTACTGATTTTATTTAAATTCAGATGTAGGAGACACCTTATAAGCAAAAGATGTGAATTCAAGGCACACCTCATTGCTGATGCCATGCTTCTGAATCCAAAGACCATGATGAATAGCACAGACTGAAATATAGGCACCAAATCTCTAGAGTCAGTACCTTGTCTCTCAAAAAAGGCAGAGGTAGATGCATCTCTAATCCTCTCAATCTCTAAGCATGTGGCTCCTACCAGAAAGCTTACACAGAAACACATGCAGTATACCAGCTAGCTTTCAAAGTCCTAGGCGAAAGAGTAAAATTTCCCCCAGCACATCCAGCCCAAACATCACAAGCTATCATAAAAGGGAAGAGTACCATACTTAAGCAAAAGGATGTTGGACACAGTATTGTTATCTTCCTTACATTGAAGCAGACACTATACAGATCAATGAAGGAGGCTTAACAAAAATTAAATATTAAAACATAAGATAGGTGATGCATGAATATGTGAAATGAAAGGAACAGGTACAGAGTAGGAAGGAATCAGCTTTACTGAGAAGCGATGAAACTGTCAAATCAGTTCTTAATTATGGTTTCAGAAACTCCCACTGTAAGCAGTTTGCACATCATTACAGGAACGTATGATAAACTTGAACTAAGGCTGACAAAACTGAGCATACATAGCATTAAGATGAAAACATATATTCTTACAACACCATACAACAATTATTATGCTGTTGCTCCAATCATATCTTGTTTAATCTTTTGATGTCTGTGCATAGGTTGCAAAATTTATCATCATTTCTCCATGCAGAAATACACGGAGATTGCATATCTGAGGGCTTAGTTTGACAAAAGAGGACTAATCAGAACCATTACAGTTTCGAGTATCCCTTTCCTACAAGGTTTAACTGTTTAGTTTTAATTTAGTTTTATTTACAGTGGGTTTTGAGTCCCTTTATGGAGCTAAACAGCACTCTTAAGGACTGAAAGAAAGTACTCCTCCATGCTCAGCAATTACAAGCAAGACTAACTGACTCCGAGAAGCAATTTAATGTCATTTTTCTAAGCGAGTTTAAAAAAAAAAAAGTCTCTAAACTTTCTACCCTACTTTCTTCCTTATGACTGCAGTTTGGGTAACAGTCTTAAAATATTACCACCTTTTCAATCCATCATGTAAAATTAAGTTGGGGGTGGGGACTGGGGCAGAATCAACCCTGTATATATCACATGATTGTAATGTTTCAAATTTAGTTGTCTCCCACAGCTACTTTATTTCCCTTCTATATAATCCAAATAGTAAATAATGTCTCTGCAGCGTAATAAATGCTTAACTTAGATTTTTAGAAAGTATAAAGTGTACAACACTAAAATCATATTTGGTCCCCAAAATAAGGAAATTACAATTTTACATTTGTTTTTGTTTTACAAAGTGTATCAGACAGTATTTTTTAAACTAACATTCTCTCTGAATGTTACCCTGGAAGCTGTGCTAAGCTCAAGTCCTGATGTAAGTAATAAATAACGGCATACTGTTCTCAGCTCAAGAAAACTTATTTCACATGTAAAAGCACTCAAGATCATTCAGGTATACTATAGCACATGATGAAGTATTATATTCTGTTAGAAGTAAAACTGTATCACTCTGCATTTGTCATTCCAGCTAAAAGGTAACAAAAGCTTTTCATGATCTCACTTCAGAAAAAGTTCAGTGAAGTTAGCCTTTTCTAGGTAAGGAAAGGTGTAAGGATTTGAAAGATACCAAATTCATAACCTTGTAAAGCACAAGACCTCCCACATCTCTGAAAAAAACAGGATCGGCACAGGGAGTTCAGGAGAGGAATGGGCTGTTCTCTTATGCACGCACCATTCCAGTCCTCGTCATTAAACAGCAAACAGGATACACTCCTCATGAAAAGCCTTTGCTATGCATCACCTAACTTCTGTTTCTTGATCTCAGATGAGAGGTCCACTCTAAAAGCATGGATCTTCTGGAAGACAATATTCTGTATTTGAGTAGGGCATTTTGATTTTTCAGTGTGTTTGGCTTTTTTGTTTTGTTTGGGGGTTTGTTGTTGTTGTTTTTGTTGTGGTGTTTTGTTTGGTTTGTTTTTTTTTTTACAGTCTCTATACAAACTGCTTTAATGTCAGTTTACAATTCCAATCTAGGTATGTTTGTGTTACTTTTAAAAAGGCTCTTTTAACAACTGGCAGTATCTACAAACTCTCCTTGCAGACTTTGCAGCCAATACTAGGCAGAGTGCTGAAAAACAGCAGGGCTTGACAACTGTACTGACAACAATAATATTTGTTATTTCATACCACACTGAACATGGAACTGCCATTTACTTTTCATGAAACGCACAGTAATCCTGGTGAGACAGCACCTCAAAAAAACCCAACACTAGAGGTTGGCTTATATGTTTTGATCTTTTTTTTTAAATTGGTATTCCCTTTGGCATTAACTTTCAATGAAGCACAATAAAATGTGACTACAGTAACTGGTAAACCATTACTCATTAAGAAAACGCAAGTTTTGTTTAACCTCATTAGTAACTCTGAATTTTAATCTCCACCTCAGCCACTAAGGTGAAATGCATTGTAGACCTCAGTAAATTGAAAGTGAAAAGACATCAGTGTTGTCACCAGATTTTCACACATCAAAATAATTCTCTGTTGCTCGATTCAAACATTGCAGCATTAGGTTCATACTTGTCACTATCCCAGTTCCCTCTGGTATTAAAAAGCCCAGGCACTTCTACTGATCTTCTGTTTGTTCTAATGTGTTTTTCATGTTTAAAATGACCTATCTGCAACATATTGCTGTTTGTTCTTAAAACTCCAGTTAACTGCATTCATTCACTTAACCGTACAGCTACATAAGACAACAATACAAAAAGTGTTCAAATCAAATGCGAGATAAATTCAGGCATACACAGCATACAGTTCCACTAATTTCAAAGATTTCATCAGCTTACACCAGAAAGGAATTCAGCTCTAGAGATCCTCTCCCACACACATCATCTTCATGTAACATGTAGGCATGTATATGCCAAATAATGCATTACATAGATAAAAACACCAATCAAAAGACTAGAAAAATATCAAGGGACATCTTCCTGATAGCATTACGATATCGTCTGATTACTGCAGAATTCGACTTTTGAGTAGAGAAAATATCTTTCTCTTCAACAGAAGTACAATTACAGTAAGAAAACTTCTATTAGATAAAACTTTTTCTAAACAAATCAATACAACCATATTATCCTCCAATTATCTAAATTAATTTTCCAAAGAAATATTAGAGAAAAAATTTGCAGAAACACCCAATTAAAAAATAAAAATAACAAAAAAAAAATCAGTTTTACCTACTACCAAGAATTTTAATTTTAGAAGAAAGAATCAACCTTCCAAAAAGGAAAATATTTATCTTGCATGATTCGCAATATTGCGACCTTAGAAACACTTTGTAAGCACATTGTAATTTTTTGCTAGCTCTTGCTTAACCTAGGCTTCTCAGAGGTTGAACCTTAAAAAAAAGAAAAAAGAAGCAAGCCATGACTGGACTGCAAATCTATTAGATGACAACCCCTTCGTTCTCTTCTGTGCCCCTCAAGCCCCTTTTCTCCACCCTGCCTCCCAAGTATATTTATTTTCCCATTTTTGAACGAAAACCAGAATGTAACCCAACATTAGCAGAAAACCACATACTTGCACTTGATGCATTAGGGTGACCATTCAGTAAACATGCTAATTTTGCACAAGTTCACATCTGGCCAAGGTCATGCATGAACTGAATATGGCAATTTCAGAGTAATCCATAGGGTAACTACCTCGACACTACATCCATCACACAAAACCCATGAAATGGTTCTCCATTTCAGCTATGTAAGCACACCAACAGTGAAACCACAGGAGATCTTGCAGGTGAGAATTGAGCTGCACTGCTGAGGCTGCACGAGGATGGATACAGAGAGGTCGCTGGAAACAATACATGGCTAAAGTTATTGCTATTTGCCCCTCACTTCCTTCTGATGTGTATTAGATTTACTTTTGGTGGATTTCTTTCCTTTATTAACCAACCAATGTAGCGTTGGTCTTAGTGTTTACGACAGAAACAACGGCAGAAGATGTATATTCAGAGCTTGCACTATGGAGAGGGAAGGAAAGTACTGTGCAGTTAATCCAAAACAATAACATACTTCAAAACATATATATATATTATATATTATATAAGCTATATAATATATGTGTATATATATGTGGACATCTTAAATGGATCTTGCTTTTGAATGACCAACATTTACTGCCTTCATGACAACAGCTTCTGACTCAATGCATCTCTGCATATATGCAGGGCTGGGCAGTCTTTGCCACAATCTGATCTTCCTTTTCTTCCTTAAATAAAGAAAAAACCCTTTATTCCATGAGGGAGTTAAGCACTTCTTTTCCCTTTGCAGTCCCATTTGAATGTTGCTTTCATGCATCCAGACACTGAATCTCAGGGCGATGATCTACTTCTCTGGATTCTGTCCGAGCACGTATGTAATCACTTGTCTGCCGACTATTTTGTTGTCTGCTGTTCATTCGCCACTTTTTAATAGCTAAATATGTGTTCACAGCATACACTGCCATTGCCAAGAAACCAAATATCTACAAGAAGTAGAAAGAATTGTCAAAAGACAATTTTTGAAAACAAGAACAATAGTAGTTTCACAACAAATTCCTCAGAAGTTTAGTTTTCTACTTTATTTGCACTGAGAAATCATTATGGCCTGTAAAATTGATGTTTTTCTTCAATGAACTACAGAATCTGCAAAAGCGACTAAGATCAATGATCCCAGAAAACAAAAGTCTCTGTCTACAAACATTACAATTAAATCCTGCAATGCAACTTCAAAGGAAGAACCTCTTATAAAGATGACTACAGCTTTTCATCCAACAGTTCATTCCTCAGGGTGTACATAATATAGTAAATGAATGACAAGAGAACAGATGACCAGTCCAGACCATCAGCCTGGAGAAGGAGCTAATTTGCAGTTCTTCCTGTATGCTTCTGCAGAACTGTTGTGTGATTTTCGATGTCCAGGTTTGAAAAAGAAAAAAATAAAAAGGTTGCCAACTCAAGCACAAATTTGCTTGAACTTACTGTTCTAAATTTAAAAATCACTCCACAGAACAAAAGTGATCTGTAGTGAGCAAGAAGAATTCAGCAAATTACGTGTAAGCAGCTCCAATTTCTTGTGTATTTTTGGCTCTATCTTTTACTTAGGCTTGCAATATAGAGCAGTATCATCTAAGCTAGCTATAGAGAAAGAAGCAAGGCAAGTTCAACTGTGAAAGTGCTCTCTGCAAGTCATTTTTCTGTTTGTTCTTGCCTCAAGCCTTAGGAAAAACAAATTAAAGGATGACAATACTTTTAAAATCATAATTAGCTCATAGCCAACTGTAAAATTAGAATTAAATTATGATGGCAAAGGCAATAGGCATATTCAATGAACACAAGGGAAAAGTTATTCTTAGTTTTAATAGCAGGTAAGAGAGTTATATATGAAGAAGTTAAAATTCTTACCACAGCAGCAATTTCTGCTCCAGTTTTATGGTTTAAAGCAGCAAGTACTACAGAGGCAATGAAAAAGAAGAAAGTGCTGAGTCCAGTGTTGACCAGATCCTAAAAAACAAATTCATTAGCATTACTAAACAATGATTCTTTGCTTGCTTTTATTAGAAGTGATGAAACAGAAGAAGGTTAGAACAAGAACTATAGCAATACTTTCCCATTTTCTATGCAGTTTATCACTTATCCAAAAGAAGGCAAAGACTGTTACACAGGAAACATAGCATGTGTGCGCATCAGTCTGTGAACTGAAGTCAAACAGCATGTACAAATAAAGCACCAGTGAATGTTCTGGATACACTACTTCAGTTTCTACTGGGTTTGTTAGAAAAGTACTCTCAGCATAAACAATAAATAAAGCTGTTCTATGTCAGCTGCTGCTGAAGTAACCTGAATATCAAACTTTAGCACTCCAGGAACCCTTGTTCTCTTTCACATCACAACAGTGCTCCATGCACTGCCTAGATAACAGTCATGAATTTTTCTACAAATTCTTTGAGGCCTTCATGGTAGAAAACTGCATATTTTTATGAATAACAGCTGCCTATACTGTGGGAGTACACAGATTTTTACATATTTATTGCATAAAATTGATGTTTCAAGCAGACATTTTAGGACATATGCACAGCAACATCCCTGGGGCACCTACATTCAGGGACAATTCTTGCTTTGCTCCAAGCACAGAAAAATGACAGGCAACATGCAATTCAGTTATACATATGCTGCATATGTCAGTGTTTAGATGATTATGCTGCCATGACTTACATAAAGCAGGGTCATTATCATCGGAACATAAGAAAGAATTCTGAATGGCAGCCATTAGCACAAGAATAATTACATCAGTACAAGACTACCTGATCAGACTCGAGGGAAAAAAAATTCCAAGAGCTGGGACTTTAAAATAATAGAAGAAACAAAATACTAGATTTATTAGGGACTAGCTGTTCAGTATATTACTTGAGGCATCTTTTACAATTTTTTAAAACATTTGATACGTATGTACACTGCACTATATGTACATTACGGAGACGTAGGAAATAACAGACTATCATGGTAACTGAATGAATCGGTGAAGTCAGGGAGCAAGGAGGAGTGTGGAAGAATCAGGGAATGGCAGTTCAGCACAAATATCCTGAAGGAACATGAAACCAGTGAGAGATGAATACTATCATAGCCAAAAGGAATGGAAAGAAAACCTGTATACAAGTTTACTGTGCAACTTACAGTTTTGAGTTAAATTAAAAAAAAACACACAACACACACTGAACATGCCAACTCCCACCATTGGTGATTTCCATCACCACTCAATTAGAATTCAAGGACCAACTTGTTCTACTTGACTGTCTCTCAGGTGCAAGCCAGGCTCACTTCCTGCTCCAGCTCCTCCATTTACTACAAGCAGAACTTTTCTTTAAATTTTATTTTAGTTTTCCCAAAAGTGCATCTTGTGATCCTTCTGTAAGAAGCTGGGCTTAGAAAACTGAAGACCTAAATCTAGACTTATTCCCTGGCTATGAATCCCATGACTATGTTCCAGCTACACAGCACAAAAGACTTTGAAAAGACCATTGTCATCCAGCCACCTGTTTTTTCTAGCCATGATTTGAGAACTTTAAAAAGTAATTGTAAAAACTGAAAGTTTCTGGCACTGTGCTATTCACAAGGAAAACGATCTATTTTGAGGGTACTGACTGAGCGACAGCTCGTTATCACAATTAGGCATACCTGGAGATAAACTGTATGATACATCACTGTGACCGGATCCTCATCTAAAAGAGGGACTTTCCCAAGAAATCCAAGGGGCTTCCATTGCTCATTGCTATTTCCAGCCATATATTCAGATTTCATGAGCACAGTAAGACCCAAACTGTCTTACCAAATAGTAAGGAAACAAAAGCAAATTATGGGTCTCAAACTTCTACTATCTTTTCACCTGCCAGTGTATAATTAGAGAGATACATTTTATCTCTGTTCAAGCTTACTCAGATAGATGTTGCCTGGTACTTACAGCATCAAACAAAACAGGAATTTAATTAAACAGTTATTGCAGCTTTAAGTATGTAACTTCTTGCTCTGCAAAGCTAAAAGCTAGGAAGTAGAGATATTAGAAAATAAATAGCATTTCACAATTTCTCCAAGTATCCTGCTCTTCAACTCTGAGTTCAGCAGCTCTAACTGTGCTTCTGAGGTTCCAACAAGAGCTGTGGTTCTCATCTGCACCAACCTTTTCTCACTAGAGGTGAAGTCTCACTATACATGACAACAGATACCAGACTCAACAGTATTCAACATTTTCATCAAATCTCTAGAGTAAACATATGTATGGCACCAAGGATGCTGAAACTAAATACTGAGGAGAGGGCAGCTATGCTCTTGAATAATTGAATTTTAAAAACTAAAAAATTCAACCCAAGGTCAAGTTGTATATTTTATTACCAGAGTACATTTGCCACCTACAGGAAGGACCTACAGAACGGAGATGAAATCCTAGAACAAGTAACTCAGAAAAACTTAGTAATTACAGTAGGTAAGCATCTCAAGATGTGATGCCATGACAAAAAAAGGGAGAAAAAGCACTCATACATTCCTTTGGACATATGGACACGATAGGTGTAAGGTGGCAATCTTACCTTTGCAAGGTACACTGGAATGCTGCATCCTGTTCCGGTATCCACATTTTTAAAAGTACGTTGAAAAATTGGACAGAGTACAGAGAAGAGCCACAGAAGTTATTTGAAAGGAGGAGCAAAGTTTCTCACAGTATGAATCAAAGAACCTAAACTGCTTTGAATATTGAAAAGATTGAGCTGTGTATATGAAGAATCCAGTGTTCAAATAATCAAAAAATACTAGCTGTTTTAAAAGTTTAACATAGAAAAGCACAACAAAATTAATAGTGTAAGAAAATTAACAGCTGCAAAGTTAAGACAAAAGTCATATTCAAAATGAAGTAAGTTTTAATTGTAAGGGAGCTAACCGTCAGAACAAACAACCAAACGTGTGCTTAATAGTCCACCTTTTCACTTACTTATAATCTAGATTATGTTTTTTCAGACATACATTTTCTATTTCCTTAGTACCATACGTAAAAACTAAGTGGATGACACATAATGCTCTATGATTTATGGGGTCAGATGTGCTTATTAATTAATCCTGCTGACCTCTGACTTCTTGAACCTGTCAGCTTGATCGTCTTGCCCAAGGAGAATAGCGTAAGCAAGACAGCTAGACCTATCCACAACATGACAAACATCATCCTCTATGTCCATGCTACAAATCAAAGTGAAGGCTTCTTGTACGAAGTTTGAGATACTGCAGAATATGAAATACTGCTGAAATTAGACTGCTGGTGCCTTTGTCATAATATTTCCAGGAAACCGAAGATACAAGTACATTAGAAACTCTGTCATCATCACTGGTATTTTATTTTATTGTACTCTCTACAAAAAATATCAAGTTTGTCCTTGCAAAGAATCCAACAGTTCAAATCTAAAGAATTTATTTCATCTTGAGGCTCCAATTTGCTCGTTTCTGCAATTCCATTTTCCCTGTTTAGGCCAAAACCTTTTAGTGCAATTAATAATTGATTCACATTCATACAATAAGGCTGGTTTCTTTAAAAGCTAAAAATAACAGAGTCTTTCATATCCACAGATCGGATTGTCTGGAGCTTAAGGAGCAATAGCACTTATCAACAACATTGTCATATAGATATATAATGGTAACATCACAGATGCAAATACCATTGGAGGTTTTTAATCCAAAATTTGGTACTTGCTACTTGGAGCAGAAAGGTAAGAACAGAAAAAAATACAATGGTTTCGGACGAAGTCAGAGCAGATACAAGACAGAATGAACTACAGCAAGAATTCAAGAAGTATTTTAGGGAGTGTCCTTTAATGTAGTTTTTTTCCACGTAAGAGAAAATGAATAATCGTGACAATAAAAAGAATAAACTAATTGAAAAAAGATGAGCGTTTCAAAGCTGGCCATGATGTAGCTGAAGTTCTTGCTATTATATTTATAGACAAAGTAAAAACCACATCACACAGATAGAAGAATTTCTGCTGAAATTACAGCAACCTCATGAGACAGTATGCTGTGCCATAAAATACTGTACAAAGCTGCCATCCATAACAGAGAGTAAAATCTGTGAGCTGAATCAAATCTACTCCAGACTGCTGCTGCTCCCTTTCTCCTTTCCAAAAGGCTTTAAAATGAAAGACTAACTTCTGGTCACTTGCTAGTTACTTGCAAGTCATTCTGTTCAGTCACCAATGGTCCAAAGGAGCATATCCAAGGATATAAATTTGCTACTGCCATCACTAGCCATCTGTCCCACTCAGAAGGAATGTAAGGCAGTGGAGGCATCTTAACTTGTGGATGAAGATGGGCTTATGCCAAGACAGCATTTTATACTAAAAAAGCATGAGGCTTTTGTTCTGCTGATTCTGCTGTGAAGGCTGGAAACTCTAGAAAAGAAAAGCCGACAGTATCCTACAGTCTTTCATTTTTAAGGTTCTGGGCAAGTATGGTTCCTGGATTAATGGAGACGGAAAAGCTGAACTGGTGCTATGAATGAGAGGTCTGTTAACAGACCTGAAAACTCCAATTAAGTAACTCCTGAAAGCTGCAAGGCACATCAGCTTCGCAAGATTCTGTTTAGTCCTCCAGTTTGGCACATTACACTCAATGTAATGTACCAAACATTCCATTTGACACTCAGAGGCGTCAGTAATATTCACATGCCTTTATCCATCACTCTCCATGACTTCACACGTGTAAGTTTTTAAAAGACAATAAATCAAAATACATGCTTTGCCTTTTTATCCTGTATTTTGTGATGAAGTAAGAGACCACACAAGTGGCCAGGTACTATTTAAAAGGGAGACAGTGCCATATTGCAATTGTAATTTATATAAACAAAAATATGACATTTAAACTTGTGGTTGCTTTGGTCATTTGCTTTCTGGAATCCAATAGTTTACATTTAGATGGAGCTTAAAGTAGATAAATGAATGTAATCTGGAAAAGAAGCCTGCACATTTCAACAA